AATGGACTCATCACAGCCAAACTGTAGTGTCCACGACTACGATTACATGCAGCTGTACATTTCTAGACAGCCACTGTCTAGACATCCAGAGCAAATGAAGGGTGTGCTCACAGATTATAGCATGTCAATTTAATACCATTTCTATTCAGGTGTTAAAGGAATGTTCAGCATCACCTGGTGTAGTGAATTAATGTGAAAGCTTTATCACGTTCAGGATAAAGTTACTTTTTAATTATGTCAATTTAAGAGTCCCCACCTAATCATTAGTCAAAGCAAGGAACTTGCATGAAATTGGTCCCTGGTAACGGGTAATTCCTAGCTGTTTTGAAATGTTGCTACTCTACATGTGAAGCAAATGGATGGATGCAGTATGCTTTGTTGGAATGGAGACCCAGGGCTGTTGCTAGTTGCTTAAAATGGGCAGTGTCCATCTGAATTCCAAATAAAGTCAACAAACAAGAGCTTCCACCTGCACATTTACTGGTTGTCTCCACACTTATTGTAGTAGTATAGTGGCAGCCTGCAAGTAAACATTTGGCAAGGAATCCCACATTCACAGGCATGCTCGACAATGGCATCATGAATTAGGAATGCTGCTTTCAGCCTTCTACTTTTCAATACTTTTCACTACTGAGAAGCTTTAGTTCTCTGTGATACCACTAAAAAGGATGACTTGTTCATAGTGCCTACTTTAAGTACTTTTTTGGCTTGTAGTGTAAAACTTGAAATGATAGAACACTGAGCACCCTGAAAAAAAGAAGTTTTTCTTAAAATCTCCTTCTAAATATTTATGATTGTGGGCAATTTGGATGATTATTCTAACTATTCTGCAATAAAATTTGATCAGTTAATTATGTAGCATTAGATGGAACAATTATTTTAATTTATGCCACACCTTTAACTTAATCCTTACACTCACTGCACACGGTATCATCTACTGCCCATGTACAATGTCTTATTAAGTACTTTGGATGGATAATCAGACCTCCTTGTGTGTTTGCATACTGTTTATTTTTCATGAGCTTGAGAGGGTTATTAACTTGCTGTGAAACTAGCGAGCAGTTTAGTGTCATTGTGATGTTGTACTAATCCTGCTGTCTGAATGCTATCGATGACTTTGAGTTTAGCATGATAAGGACACTGGCTTGATATGTTCAGGGTGTAACTCTCACTTGTCTCTTGCATGCAGGGGTGGTGGTGTCTACTGCTTTACAATTAGATACATCAACACCAATAAATAGGACCTGATAAATTAAGTTGGTTTAGCAGACCATAGGGCTGCTCTCTCATTAAACACAGCCAATTGGTGGTGGTTTAACCTGACGGTCACCATACCTCAGACAAGGGGAGAGGTTGAGAAGGAGAGTCCTTCACGGTAACATCAGATGGTGTAGGGATCTGTTGGCATCACGCTGCTTCGCAAACCAACCGTCCAGCCAACTGAGCTAAACCAAGCACCAGCGTATGGAAAGAGTGAGAAGCTCGTTCCTCAGACCCAGTATTTTCAATGTGAGCATGAATCAGTGAGGGTAGTAACTTGTCTTTGAAGTGCTTCTGTTACTTAATAATCTCATGTGTCATTGGGAAATATTTTAGATGTATCAGAGATAGTAGGAACTGCAGATGCTGGAGAATCTGAGATAACAAGGTGTAGAGCTGGATGAACACAGCAGGCCAAGCAGCATCAGAGGAGCAGGAAGGCTGACGTTTCGGGCCTAGACCCTTCATCAGAAATGGGGGAGGGGAAGGGGGTTCTGAAATAAATAGGGAGAGAGGGGGAGGTGGATAGAAGATGGATAGAGGAGAACATAGGTGGAGAGGAAACAGACAGGTCAAAGAGGAGGGGATGGAGCCAGTAAAGGTGAATGTAGGTGGGGAGTTAGGGAGGAGATAGGTCAGTACAGGGAGGACGGATAGGTCAAGGGGGCGGGATGAGGTTAGTAGGTAGGAGATGGGGGTGTGGCTTGAGTTGGGAGGAGGGGATAGGTGGGAGGAAGAACAGGTTAGGGAGGCGGGGATGAGCTGGGCTTGTTTTGGGATGCAGTAGGGGGAGGGGAGATTTTGAAGCTTGTGAAATCCACATTGATACCATTGGGCTGCAGGGTTCCCAAGCGGAATATGAGTTGCTGTTCCTGCAACCTTCGGGTGGCATAGTTGTGGCACTGCAGGAGGCCCAGGATGGACACGTCATCTGAGGAATGGGAGGGGGAGGGGAGTTGAAATGGTTCGCGACTGGGAGGTGCAGTTGTTTATTGAGAACCGAGTGTAGGTGTTCTGCAAAGCGGTCCCCAAGCCTCCGCTTGGTTTCCCCGATGTAGAGGAGGCCACAACGGGTACAGCGGATGCAGTATACCACATTAGCAGATGTGCAGGTGAACATCTGCTTGGATGTGGAAAGTCTTCCTGGGGCCTGGGATGGCGATGGGGGAGGAGGTGTGGGGGCAGGTGTAGCACATCCTGCGGTTGCAGGGAAAAGTGCCGGGTGTGGTGGGGCTGGAGGGGAGTGTGGAGCGGATCAATGTGGATTTCACAAGCTTCAAAATCTCCCCTTCCCCTACTGCATCCCAAAACCAGCCCGGCTCGTCCCCGCCTCCCTAACCTGTTCTTCCTCCCACCTATCCCCTCCTCCCAACTCAAGCCGCACCCCCATCTCCTACCTACTAACCTCATCCCCTCCCCTTGACCTGTCCGTCCTCCCTGGACTGACCTATCTCCTCCCTACCTCCCCACCTACATTCACCTTTACTGGCTCCATCCCCTCCTCTTTGACCTGTCTATTTCCTCTCCACCTTTCTTCTCCTCTATCCATCTTCTATCCGCCTCCCCCTCTCTCCCTATTTATTTCAGAACCCCCTTCCCCTCCCCCATTTCTGATGAAGGGTCTAGGCCCGAAACGTCAGCCTTCCTGCACCTATGATGCTGCTTGGCCTGCTGTGTTCATCCAGCTCTACACCTTGTTATGTCTAATATTTTAGATGTAATGTCTTTGTCAGAACAGCGTGAATTATAATTTTAATGTAGCGATAAGAGAGAGCAGCTAGAAATTAACTGGTTCCAGCAATTGAGGATTTAAAACAAGATTAAATATAAAACATTTTAGAATCGTAATATGGTTACAACATAAGAGGCTTTCGTCCCGTTGTGTTTGTACTGGCTCTCTGCAAGAACAGCTCATTTTGTCCCTCTCCCCTGCCTTTACTTCATGGCCCTGCAATTTTTTCTTCTTCGGATATATATCCGATGTTCTTCTGAAAGCCATGTTTGAATCTGCTTTCAGCATGCTCTCAGACAGTGCATTCCAGATCTGAAACACTTGTTGCCTTAAAAAAAAATCCTTGTCACTTTCTTTGCTAGCCATTTTAAATCTGTGCCTGCTGGCTCTTAATCTTATCACAGAGAAAGGGAGGACTCCTTGTCTCCACCACAGACTGTAAAATGGGTGGAACCAAATTAATACAAGTATTAACCCCTTCAGAACCATTACTGTATACAACAAAAAGTGAGGCCAGAGATGGAGAAGCATTTAGAAGGTCAGAGGCAACAGTTGTGGAGTTTTTGAAGAACAAAAGTGATGAAACCGAAGGTCAGATACTTAGAGAGGGAAAATCACTCTCAACTTCAGTTAGCATGGGGAAGGTGGGGTGAAGAAAGGAAGGGAGATGGTCAGCAGATTATTGAGTATGTATCAAGGAAGCAAGAGGTGAGTCTCAGAGAGAATGCGAGCTTGTTGTAATGGTGAGAGAAACTACAGAGAACGAGCAGATGTTTTAGGGCGACAAAAGGACTATGGGAATGGAGTGGGGAGGGACAAGAGTTTGGCATGATGGACAGGGTGGAAGAAATGAAACAGTTGCGGTAAATGGATAACTTGTCTTTATCACGGTGCCAAAAATCAGTCCATGTTCTCCTCACATTTTTAGTAGCGATGAAGGCGGCAGGAGAGAAGATTTTAAGGAGGTTTTGGTAATGAAGAATAAAAGCTATAGTCTATCTTTGTACCCTGAATTACTTTCTGTTTTGACAAAGAAGTGTAAGGTCATGTGGAGCTTGTTATATCTAGCTAGAAATGACAATGAATGATTCAACTATCCCTGATTTGCCATTGGACTTGGTAATTCTAATACAATTCTGACTGACATCCCATGTGATATACACCAGAAACTCAAGGCCACCTGAAGCCAGTATCTTTACTCACACCCACAGCTGTCCACCATCATCCCTTATGGACACTGAACTACACTCGCTCCCAGTTTTACAGTGCTTCAATTTTAAAATTCTCATTCTTCGTGTCAGACTCCCCCATGGACTCACCCTCTCCTCTATGTCTTCAGTATCGTTTAGCTTCACAATCTTCTGCGATATCTGCACTCCTACAATTTGGATTTTTAGTTTTAAAATATTTGATTTTAATGGCTCCTCCACTGGCAGCTACACATCCCTCTGTCAAGGCCCTAAAGCTTTGGAATTCCCTCCCGAAACTACAATGTCTCTTTTCCTTGCTTTGTGCCTTGAAGACATTCTTTAAAATCTCTTTGACCAAGCCTTCTCTCATTAGCCCTAATATCACCTCTTGTGGCTCAGTATCAAATATTGTTTGATAAAACTGCCATGAAGCACCTCAGGATGGTTTACTACATTAAAGGCACAACCTAAATACATTTTGTTATTGACATGCCTACACCTGCATCTTTTAAACTTCAGTAAAGAAGGGGGCCTGTACAAGGGGAATGACGATGATGGGAGACATGAAGGTTTTGTTGGGGAAAAGAGGAGTAAAAATACAGCTGTGAGAGCACATTCACAGTAAAAGAAATAATGTGGTGAGCGGAGGGTCAAACATTAGGCCATTGGTTTATGGCATTATTCATTTGAAAAGATCTTTAGTTTGTTCCAACATTGTGGATACATACATCCTGGCCACTTTATTGTTGGTCTAGGGTCTTGTGTCACGGTAATGCTGAAAATAAAGAAACGTTGTCTGCATTATATCCCTTCCACAGCCAGTCCTCCAAGACTAGTATCCATGACGGAAGTTCTGGAAACAGCACAGGATGTGTCTAACATGGCCATTGCACACGAAATTGTTATAAACAGCAACTTCCAGATCCAGAAGATGGAATCTCCTCAAAACAGGTAAAGATCTAAGTTAGTGAATTGAGTTTATCAAGTAAATTAATCAAGCATTCCTGATGAATCTGCAAGTTTGTCACCACAGTATTTGATCCAGATTAAACCTCAGTTGGCTGACTTCAACATTTTTTTCTTAGAATTTCATGGGATGTGGGTGTAGCTGGATGCACCAGCATTTATTGTCCATCCCTAATTACCCCTGAACTGGGGCTTGCTAGATCATTTCAGAGGGCAGTTAACCACATTGCTGTCGGTTTGGAGTCATGGCTAGGCCAGACCAGGTAAGGCAAACAGATTTCTATCTTTAAAGGATATTAGTGAAAGTCAGTTGAAGGCAGTTGTCATGTTTCCAGTCATTGGGACTAGCTTTAAATTTCAGACTTTAAATTTAAATTTCATCAGCTGCCATGATGGGATGTGAACCCATGTCTCGAAAGAGATATTACGACCATGGCACCACCTTGGAACCTGACAGAAGGATAGTCTGGTCAACCTCAGAGCCCCCAAGAGGTGAAGTTGGATGGAGACATCAGACATAGCTCCCTTTTCTGATTACAAGTTAACAACTATGACTGAATATACAAGTGTTTGGAATTTGGTGAAGATGGTATTAGACTCAGCCGTATATGCCTCTTGTTTAGGACCTTGGGAAGTAATTACTATTGAGGCAATTTGCTAGTGTTTAACCCAGTTTTTGCTTTAATATATTATCCTGCGACTGAAGTGCAAAATCCCTTTGAGGCTACAGCTCCAATGGATGCAAAGTAAATGCTGGGTATGTTCATGTGCAGTTTAGTTCATCCAACTGCAGAAACTGTGGCTAAAATAATTTCTTTTCCTGTAGAGTTTCTCTGTACAATGTCAGCCTTTTCTATCTGTAACTTCCTTTGCCATGTGTGTTCGAAAAGCTTGCATTAGACAGCATGTAACAAATTGGAAGTTGCACATCCACACCTTTTTCTTTTAATGTAAAGGAACGATTGATAATCTCTCACAGTTGATCAGGGATAGGAGTGACATAATGCATGTGATGTCATACAAATGACTGAGAATCCTTGCAAACTGTCATCAAAACAATGTTCCCATGTTTTGTTTGAAGCCTTTGTAATTGGCTTCAAAGATGGCATTTTGTCATTGGTCGGTCAGGAGAGAGGTGGCCTTCCTGTCTTTAGACTAACTGCAGTACTTTAGTGGCCAAAATCAATGACATAAGGGTATTTTTTCACGTGGGGTGGCTGTCAGGTACACTCTCTGGGAAAGGTATCATCCCTCCACAGAAAGACGAGCTAAGCCATCCACAAAACTAAATCTGATAGTGGTCTGCCTGACTGGTCCTGGTGAACCTCACTCAAACTCATCATCATTCCAGGCCCCCTTCCACATGGTTGGCCCTCCCATTGGCCAGCTGTTCTTGGGGCAGGGTTAGACATCCTTCCTTATATGTGGCATGAGCTGACTGTGGGTAATTAATGACCTGTGGTTGAAAAATGTACTTGGGACCATGAGGTGAGGTGGAGTTGACAGCCTCTCTGTCCAATGGGCGGAGTCACTATTACCCTGTAAAAATCTGGCCTAGGAGGGAGTCTTTATCCTAAGACTTCCCAAAGCCTGTCCACCTTCTACACGGCACACATCAGGAGTGTGATGGAATACTCTCCACTTGCCTAGATGAGTGCATCTATGTCAGTCCTCTAGAAGGTCAACACCATCCAGGACAGAGCAGCCCACTTGAATGGCATCCCATCAACCCCTGACAACGGTCATACCCTCCTGCATTAGTTCACTATGGTAACAGTGTGTATCATCTCTGAGATACACTACAAGAATTCACCAAGGCACCTTCAACAATATCTTTCAAAGCCATGACCTCCACCAACTCAAAGCAAACTACCTCTAAGTTCCTCTCCAAGTCCCACAACATCCTGACTTCAAAATATATTGCCATTCCTCTGGAGTCAAATTTCGTGATCTTCTTCCCTAAAGGCATCGTGGGTATTCCTACATCAAAGAAACTGCAGCCGCTTCCTTCTGTTCTATCCTTCTAAGGTTCTAAGATATGACATCTCCTTCGGAATTTCTTTCTTGGAATATAGTTACAGCCCAAGTTCTCCATTATACATTTGTGTATTTCTTTCAGTTTGGAAAGGAAAGTGAAGGAGATTGTGCACAAAGCCTTCTGGGATAGCTTGCAGGCCCAGTTGGACGAGAAACCACCACAGTACACCCAGGCCATCAAGCTGCTGCAAGAAGTTAAAGAGGTAAGTGCTGGAGATGGACTGTCATCCAGTTCAGGCTGGACTGGACCAATCTAAACCTCTATTGTGTTAATTGGCTCAGATTTCAATTCTTCTCCTTGGGCAAGACAGGATGGAATTTAACACTGAAACTTTAAGGCAACTGTTCACAACATTAAAACAACCTTCAATTTCACTGTTCCTCTGTTCAATTAATCAGCCTGAACTATACAGCAACTTTCATAAACCCTTCAGACATACGCCAAATTGGCGACATTAGCGGTAAAACTGTCAAATCCGTATTTATCCTTGCACTTGGGTGATAAAATATTTGGAAAGTTGCTCATGTCTTGGTGGATTAGGAAATTTCAGAATTCCACTAAATTGACTGTTCACCCTGCAGAAGTCTGAATATCAGCTGCAGATGTGCTGATCTGCGTAGGTGTCTGGGGAAATGCCCGATAAGTGGCAGCAGCTGAGTTTTCAGCCCTTTCGGCTGTTTGTCCTGCAGGTCAGCCAACTGTCCATCTTCCAGCAAGACCGGGGATAATCCTCCCCCACCAAACTATCAGGCATGCAATGGGTGCTGAGGCAATTAGCCTGGAAAAGGATAGAGAGTCTAGTATAAGAAAGAAATCTGTGAAGGACTTGAGAGGGGAATGGTGAAACATGACAGAAATACTAAAAACTGATAAGGTTAACTACGCCAGCTTTAATTAAAAGCTGGAAAATTTGTATTTCAACCTTGACAAACTTGAAATATGAATGGACCAACATAGTTCGCAAATTGAATTTTCCAGATATTTCCTACCTAAGCAACTACATGATATTTTCTCTGCTCTTAACATGAAGAAACTACCAATTGGGGCCTCAAGCTAATTTCAGTGGTCTCTTGAGCATCCATTCAGAAATGGCAGATATGCTATACAATAGCCCACAAATGATTAACTACATAAATCTAGCTGAATTCAAAGAGAATTGAACATAAACTGTGAGGAATAAAAGTTTCAGAAGCGCAGTTGAAGTATTCTTCTTTTCAGCTGTTGATTTATAAATACTATCAGAATAATACGTCTCTCAAAATCAGACAATAACATAAAAAGAAATTGCTGGTGAAACTCAACAGGTCTGGCTGCATCTGTGGGGAAAAAGAAGAGTTAAAGTTTCATGTCCGATGATTCTTCATCAGAACACAATCCCCACTATCAATATCCTGGGATTGCCATTGATCAGAAACTTACTCAGACTAGCCATGTAATAATTTTGGCTAACGAGGCTAGGCATTCTGAGGTGAGTCACACACCTCCTGTTTCCTTAAAGACTGTCCACCATCTACAGGGCACAAATCAAGAGTACGATGAAGTACTGTCCACCTGCCTGGATGGGTGCTACTCCAACAACACTTGAGGAGCTCAATTCTGCCAAGACAAATTGGCACTGGATTCACTATCTTAAACAATCATTCCCTCTACCATCACACACAGTGGCAACAATGGGTACCAAATATACAAATGCATTTCCAAACCAATAGCCTCTGCCAACTAGAAGGTTAAGGAAGCTGATAAATAGGAGCACCACCATCTGCATGTTGCCCTCCAAGCCAAGCACCACCCTGAATTGGAATTTTATCACCGTTCCTTCATTGTCAGTGAGTTAAAATCCTGGAATTCCCTTCCTGTGGATGTACCTACACCACATGGACCACAGCAGTTTAAGTAGGTATCTCACTACCAGCTTCTCTAGGACAATTAGTGATGAACATTAAATCTAGACTAGCCAGCAGTGCCCACATTCTATGAAAGAAAATAAGCCAATCAGCATAGCTGATGTAGGGACATTTAATGGACTTTTAATGGACTCGGACTGAATTGTTCACACTCAGGGGCTTTAATTTGTTAAAAATAAAAGGAGCATCCAGGAGTGTGACTCAAATATATAAAGCAATCAAACCCGGATCTCATCAGTCAGGATTTCTGCTCTTTCTTGTATCTTGTAAATCTCGTAATAGGAGCCATTCAAGTTGGCGAGGCAATTAGAGAGTAATAGTGATAGGGGATAGTTTAGTGAGAGGGACAGATACTCATTTCTGCAGCTGTGAGTGGGAGTCCCAAAGGCTGTGTTGCCTGTCCAGTGCCAAGGTTAAGGAACTGAAGATAAATGTGGAGTGAGAGGGGAGGGGATCCTGTTGTCGTTATTCATGTTTGTACTGATGATGTTGATAGGACTAGAAAAGAGGTTCTGCTGAAAAAAAAATTGAACAGTTAGGAGCTAAATTAAATACAGAACCTCCAAGATAGTAATCTCTGGATAACTACCTGAACCACAGGCAAACTGCCATAGGGTAAAGAAAATCAAAGAGCTAAATGCGTAGCTGCGAGAGTGGTGTGGTTGGAATGGGTTTCAGTTCATGGGCACTGGCACCTGTATTCTGGTAGAAGGGAGCTGTTCTGTTGGGATTGCCTTCCCTTGAGAAATGCTGGGACCAGTATCCTGTTGAATTAAATATGTAGAGAGAGCTTTAATGTAATTGGGGAGGGTGGTGGTTTGAAAGAGGGGAAATGTAGATTTACAAAGAAAAAGGATGTGGCAGCATACTGGGTAGCTTTTTGGATAGTGATACCCAGAATTGGATAGTAATGGACAGGGCAAAGATTAAGGGTAAACCAGAAGATTTGGGATTTTTTTTTAAAACCAACAAAAGATCACCAAAAAAAAAGTGAAGAGGGAGGAAATAAACTTTGGGGTCAAAATGACAAGTAATATCAGAACAGAGAACAAGAGCTTCTTTAAATATAAAAAAGGAAGAGAGAGGCCAAAGTAGACACCGACCCCAGAGACAATGAGTTCTGGGGATATAATAATGGGGATGCAGGAAATGGCAGAGGAGCTGACTAAGTACTTTGCTTCAGTCTTCAAAGTAGAATACATTATTAGCATTCCAAAAATAATAAATAAGGGCTAAAAGGGGAGAAGAAATAAATATATCAACTATCACCAGAGAAAAAGCACTAGGGAAACTAATGAGGCCAATGACCCATAGCTCCGCAGGACGTGATGGGATGCATCATAGGATAATAAAAGTAGTAGCTACAGTGATAGTGGGTGCACTGGCATTAATCATCCAAGAATCCTACAATTTGGGAACCGTACCACAGGATTCGAAAACTTAATGTAACACCATTATTCAAAAAGGGAATGAGGCAAGAAACATGTAACAATAAGGCAGTTAGCTTAACATCTATCATTGCGAAAACGTTAGTGACTATAATGAAGGATAAAGTAGCAGGGCATTTAGAAGTACATAATAAAATCAAGTCAGTCTGGTTTCATTAAGGGGAAATCATGTCTGACAAATTAATTAGAATTAGTTGAGGAGGGATCACAGGATAGATAAAGGGGAAGCAGTAGACATAATTATGTTTGGAATTGTAGAAGACATTTGTTAAGGTACTGCACATAAAGATACTTATTAAGATAAGTGCCCCTGGTGTTGGAGGTAGTATTTTAGCATGGAGAAAGGATTGACTAACTAACGGAAGACAGGGTAGGGATAGCGGGTACATTTCTAGGATACATACCCATAACTAGTGAAGCAGCACGAGGATCAGTGCTAGGGCCACAATTATTCACAATGTTTATTAAAGACTTGGATGAGAAAAGTGAATGCACAATAGCCAAGTTTGAAAACGACACAATAATAGCTAGGAAGGTAAATGGTGAGGATGACACAAAGTCTGCAGAAGGACATAGACAGGTTAAGCAAGTGGACAAGAACTTGGCAGGTGGAATATAATGTGGGGAAATGTGAGGTTACACACTTTGGCAAGAAGAATAGAAGATCTGAATGTTTTTTTTAAATGGAGAAAGCTCCAGCACAGAGGGATTTTGGAGTCGTCATGCATAAATCACAAAAAGATGGCATAAAAGTCAGCAGGGAAAGTAACTGGAATGGTGGCCTTTATTTCAAAGGGAATGCAGTATAAAAATAGGGAAGTCTTGCTAAAACTGTACAAGGCAAAGTAAGACCATAAATAGAATATTGTGAACAGTTGTGCTTCCCTTATCTAAGGAAAGATATATTGGCATTGGAAGAAGCTCAGAGAAAGGTCACTAGGTTGATCCTGAGTATGGAGGGACTGTCTTGTGAGAAGTCGAGTAGATGGGCCTGGACCCATTGGAATTTATAAGAATTAGAGGTGGCCTTATTGAAACATATAAGATTCTTAGGGGACTCATCAAGGTAAATGTGGAGAGGTTGTTTGCCTTTGTGGGAGCACCTAGGTCCAGATGGCATAATCTCAGAGTAAAGGGTTACCCAGTTAGGACAGAGATGAGGAGGAACTTATTTTAATTATAGGGTACAGAATCTGTGAAATTCTTTAATGCTGAATCAATCATTAAAATTCTCTCTCTGCATTAAATATACATAATCAATAAGGGAATCCAGGGCTATGTGGATAAGGCAGGAAAGTGGAGGTGAGGTTGATCAGACCAGCCACTATCCAATTGAATGGCAGAGTAGACTTGATGGGCTGGATAGTCTATTTTGACTCTTATGTCTTATAGTCTTATGGTAAAGGTTGAGCCCCTGTTTGTCTGGCTGTCTTGTTGCAGTCCTATCACATCTGGGACGTTTCGATACTTTAAGGTGTAATGTTGAACCATACAATGTATCTGAACACCTGTAGCTGAAATAAGGCAGCCTGTAGTTAGACAGAATCATGGCAAAATTGAAGGACTTTGATTCAGGGCTGATTGTTCAACACCTCTTCAGGACAGCAATAAATGTCCCATATCCAACTCAATCATTCTCTCCTACTGTAACCCTTACCTTCTGCAGCTTTCTGTCCCTGCTATGATCTACAAAGTCTTGCAAGCCAAGAGTGCATGACTCAAGTGGCTACTTCATTTTCTGCTCATTTCCCTCCTGTTATTTCTGACAGGGATACTGTGATGCACTATGGGCTGTCACTGTTCCCAGGTTTAGCAGTACAATAAAACTGATTTTCATTGCTTTTAAAGCACACAATATGCCTGATTGTTGGAGCATGTATAGCCTGAAATGTGTAAACCATCTAGTCAGACGGCCAGACCACGACACAGTTATTTGTCAGGCTGAGTTACAAGGTGCATAGCATACATGGCTAGATCCACAATTCTATACCTTCTGAGTTTGTTAAAAGACGTTAAGGAGGAATAGAATTGCTGGTCTGAACAGAACCTTCTTCTTTGTTGGTTTTCTTTTCTTTAGTCACTGTTGTCTCTCCTGCTTCCTGGTCACACCCGTTTGAGGACCCAGATTAATGAAGTGCTGGATATGGAGCTGCTCGAGCAACAAGCTAAGCACGATGCATTGGATATCCAGCGATTGGCTGGCTTCGTCGTAGGCATGATGGCAAACCTATGTGCCCCAGTCAGGGATACGGAGATTAAGAAGCTGAAAGGCCTCACAGAAACTGTATCTCTCTTCAGGTATGTTTGGATTCTGGACTGATAGGAGTACACAATACTGTAAGCTCTAAATTTCCTTTTTTTAATGAATTTCCTTTCTAAGCCCTTTTGCCTTCTCGGAGTTGCACTTCAAAGTGGACCTCTTTGGTCCTGCGCTATACCTCCTCTTGTGGTTCAATAATGGGCTTGGTTTGTTAACCCTCCTGTGAAATGCCATTGGATGCTTTACTACATTAAAGATGCTATATAAATGCAAGTTATTGTTATTGTCCACAAGTGTCAGATCAAACAATACTCCTGTAACCATTACCAAACAACTAAATAAACTACATGTCATCTATCCTTTCTTCTTCTTCTTTAGTTACTTTATCATATATTCTGCTAAATTAGTCAGGTTTGACTTCCCTTTGTAAATCATTGCTTGCTTTTGTTAGATTGTTTATCTCTATAAATGTTCAATCAACTTGTTCATAATAATCAATTCCAGGACTTTCCCACACACCAAAGGTCAATTTCATTAGGAATGTAAGAATTGCTAGATTAAAGAAACCCCAAGCTCCATCTATTACTAAGATTTTACGAAAGAAACCAGGCCATTCAGTCTATCAGATATCATCCTGGCCATCGCGTGGTACTACAACAATGGAGTTATTGACGTATTGTTAGTAATTTATCTTTCAAGTGTTAACAAGCTTCAGAAATTGCAGATCCAATGTCACTATTTCTCCAGAATATGCTACAATTACCATAAATTACACAAATTACTTTTGTATTAAGTTGCTCATTGCCTATACTCAAAATAATAACCTTAAAAGAAATTTAATGTACATTTGAATGAATCAATACCATCTTCTTCCACCAGTGAGTTACCACTTCCTTAGTGAGATTCATGAGCTTGACCTCTCACTCACAGCAATAATAACAGACACATTAAGCCCAAAATGCAAGTTGGGTTGGATTGGATAGAATGTTAAAATTTTAAAAATCTCAAAAAACTAACAGCAGCAGAGAAACCTGAATTTCTGATCAAAACGCTCCTCTCCCTGATCAGAATACTCCCGCCAGTAAATAATGGTGCTCTGTTTTTGCTGCCCCTTCAAACACAATCTGGATCTTTTTTAGTTGCTGTTTTTATTATTGTCCTGTTTCCAGTTACATTCGCTACTTAACCAGCTCTGTAAATGATAATTATTATCCATTCGTTGTATGCTCATTCACTTTCTAAAGTAACCTGGGAGATTATTACCTCTAGATTTGAGTTAATATCAGTATAAGCTATCTAAATCAATTGATTAGGCCAGAGCCTTGTCATTTCATCCTGCTGAGATATGTTAAACTTTAAAAGTAAAACTTCATAATAAACTATCCATGGTTGTTTCTGTTTGATCTGTGTGTTCATTTTTAAATATGTTCAAGAGATCACCTACACGATCATCTCAAGTTTTTTTTTGCCTTCTCTGCAGTCGGTAACCCTGCTTCAGTTGGGTGTAGTTACATACTAAGCATATCAGCAACATAGCACAACATCGTGGGCCGAAGGGCCTGTACTGTGCTGTACTGTTCTATGTTCCATGGCCTGTGCCGTGGTGAGTGGAGTCAAATCTGTAATCCAGTCTGGCTTTACCTTCCGTTAGGGAGATCTTCCGTGTGCTTGACCTGATGAAGGTCGACATGGCGAACTTCACCATGAAGGCCTTGAAGCCTCACCTACAGCAACAGTCCATCCAGTACGAGCGCAACAAGTTCCAGGCATTCCTCGACAAACAGCCCAGTAAGTAACACACCAGAAGGGTCAGTGCTCAGGCTGTTATGGCACTGACCTCGTGAGAAGTCTTATGGACCAGAGCAAACCCCCTCAAAATATTCAGAAGATAGTCCACATCCTAACTTTTTCTTATTTTAAAGGAATTTGAAACATAAAATACAACAAAAGAAAGTGTGTTAACTATAGAAATGAATAAAGTACAAATTGAAGTAATTTAACTATTAGAAAATTTAACAGACTAATAGATAATTTAGTTACTAAACAGTAATTGTTCCAAAGTAGTAACATCCCATAAACACACATTTGGCAAAGGCAGAGAAACAGATTGTCTTGCAGGCAATTGTCCAGGAAAAACATCAAGAAAAAACTCTGAGAGTGAGTGTAGCAGGGAGAGATGTATGTCAGCTTCCAAACCCAGCTTCAAGACCCCAGCAACAGCTGCTGAAAAACTAATCCTGGTTCTGTGGTAACTTGACCCCACCCATTCAGGTTGCTTCTATTTTTCCAACCTTAGAGACAAAAAACACCCCAAGGCCTCATAAGCTGTTTACTTTATAGGCTTTGATGCAAACCAATTGGCACCCAGATCTCAACCCTTCTTCATAAAGAAAACCAGGACAAAATACACTTCTTAAAGCCACGGTATAAAAGATAAGCTGCAGGAACCACTGAGAGTTAATGCAAAGAAGTCTCTGAGAACTGTTCTCAAAATGAAGGGACAAGTGCACACAAGGGGACAAGGCAATGAGGAAAACATTTTTAATGTTCATTTCTGAACGTACTTGCAACATAGCTACATATATTGTAGTGAGACTGATTCCTCCCTGTTATGATGGAGAATTAAATAAATTTTATGTTGAGGACTTTGAAGAGACTGAGAAATTACAGCTTTTAAATTGGCTGTGCCTCCATCTACAGCCTTGCATGTTAGAATAATTCAAATATTGGTGTCAAGGGAAGTAATTAACAAAATTGTCTGCAAGCTGAGGCTTCATGATTTAAACTGATCATGTTTGATTCACATGGGCTTAAATTGTTCTTGACCTTTAGGGCTAAAATCATTTTAGGATTCCCATCTTTCAGTTCATTTCAACATCCCCCCCCAGGCACCGCCTAACAAATTAAAATATATCCAGATCCACATTACACACTTCTATATTTCTCTCTCTCCACGTTGACCCAGTCCCTGAAGGACATCACTGACATTACATTGCAGATCACTTCACAGGCCAGGAATCAAATCAAGGATCTTTTGGGTCTAAGATAAAAACAGAAAGTGTTAGACAAACTCAGCGGGCTCGGCAGTATCTGCAGAGAGAAAAACAGAGTTATGTTTTGAGTCCAACATGGCTCTTCTTCAGAACTGCCTTTTGGTCTAGTTGGTAAATGCAACGAGTAGCTGAGCCAGTGCAACATTAATTTTTACACCAAGCTGCCGTTGTTATCTTCTTCCTCCTCCCAACTTTTTTCAGATGGTTTGGAGCACACAACTGCCTGGTTAAAGGCAGCAATTGAGAAAACTGTCAATTCAGTCTCACCATCTCGTGGTAACTGTCCAGCAGCAGCAAGCCCCATAGTGGTGCTGAATCAAGGCTACATGAACTTGTTGAAGTGGAGTCAGGACACCAACATGTATCCAGAGGTAAGCGCCAAGTCACTAGTGAGCAGATAGCACCCATTTGAACAGCTTAGAGTGCTGTGCCTATCACCTATTGTTGTTGCGATGCTCAGGTATATAGAAGGCAAATAACCACAAACCATCTTGACAAATAAGCTGCCTTCATGGACTCCTTTCCTGCTCAAAGATGCTTTAAGGGTGCCAGGATTGATTAAATTTGTCACAATAAACTGTTAATTAACAGAGAATATTGAATCATACAATGCATAGGAATTGAAATACTATTGAATTATATCAATGGACAGACATGTTATAGAGGATTGTGTTATTTTAAGTTTAAAACCAGCTTGTGGCCTTTACTGCCAATTTGGCTGGATACAGCTTCACGGTAGTGCTAATTAGTTCTGCCTTTTTGTTTTCTCAACCCCTTATTCGCTCTCATACAGATCCTCATGTGCTTCTCATTCATAATTGCTTTGATTCTAGTCACCAACCAAATGTAATGTGTGAGCACATTTATTGAGCTCAGCGGTGCAATCACATGGAAAAGAGACATACAATGAGAAGGCATAGGTGTATAAGTTGAAGGGCCGTCTCCGTCCAAATGGAACATATGTGTCACATAGTTGGCTATGATAATTATTGTGCCCTGTCCTTCTCCATGGATGGAAAGACCCTCTTTCCTTCATTCACACTCTGCCATTATACAGCTGTGGCCTTGTACATGACGGACAGTTGGTGTATTTGATGTGACTTCAGGGAGAGACTGAGGGAACGAGGCCTGGTAGAGTCAGAGTCAGTCTAGTCCTGAACAACATGGGACCATTCTCATCTATTGCATTTAAACAGCTTACGTTTACTGTTCAACGTTGAAGAGGGACTCAAGACATTTTGCTTCACAGTGTTTCAGAACATGTTAAGACTGCTTTGGAGACCAGCATCCTTTGGCACAATAATTCCCAAAAGGCCTTCAGTTGTAAAATAACCAAGCACATTCAGAGAATAAAAATAAATTCTGTTCAGTAATTTGATTTTGCAGTTGGCAGCATTGATAACTAGACTTATTCCAAGTACAGCAGTTGTGAAAGGCTTTTCTTATGTCTTATCAGAATGCTGGGCAGACACTGCGCTTCTCATAGTCATACAGCATGGAGCAGACCCTTTAGCCCAGCCAGTCCATGCCAAACATAATCCCAAACTAGACTAGTCCCATCTGCCTGCTCCTGGCCCATATCCCTCTAATACTGAAATGTAATAACTGTGAGAAATCTAGAAGTAAATCTAGAAATAAGCCTGAATCTCAGGAGCAGCTGAAAGATCCAAATATCATGCAGATCATTCCTTCAACAGTTTAAATTTAAAATAGTCATTAAAATTCAGGTTTATTTTGACTGGGTCGCTTCCAGTTCCACGTTAAGTGTGAAATAATGGCACCATCTGCAGCTAAAACTGTTGATCATTCTTGGACCCAACTTCACACCTGCTTGCTCCCAGCAAAGAAAATTCATATTGCTGGTTCCTTCTTTTCCCAATCCCGTCGGTTTGTCAGATTGCATTCCCCTCTGACATGAACAGAAATGTCAAACCAGAATTCCCAGTCAAGACCGACAGGGAAGGTGCAAGGCGAGCCGAAAACGATTAAGGTGGAAAAGAGAGGAAAAGGTCCCAGAAACAGTCTCCAAGGCTGAGGTCTGCCACAATTTGGGAACTTTAACGTCAACACGCTCTCAGGAAATCTTTGAACTGTGAAAATAAAACTCAGCATAACCAATCACTGCCGAGGGTTTGGAGAAGCCAGAATATGTTGTTTCTTCCCCAAAAATTGTAAAACTTCACAATTACTTTAGGAGAGGTGAATACTTTTAGCAGCTCAGGCTCTGTCAGGACACTGGTTTGTGAAGCTCCTGCCTCCATTCTTGTCCTGAAAGTGCAGGGACATGGTTCCTGGGTGGTGGTGGATCTTTAGTTACAGTGACCCTTCAGTGAGAGTCTGTGCTTTTGCTGATGGTAAACTAGTAGCAAATCATGGCAAATACAAGTCCTGACATGTACGCACTGCATGTTGTCCAGCAAAGATCACTCAGTTACAATCAGGTATTGAAACATGGGATGGTTTCCCTCCCACCTCATGTTCCCATTGTCTAAAGTCTGCATGGGCCAATTCTAACCCATGCAATGGTGCTGCTGGTTGGTCCTAGGTAATAACCGTAGAGATGGAATCAAAACAGTCTTAACCAACTCAACACTTGAAAAGAGCTAAACTTGCTTCAATGATTCTCTTGACCAGTGAATTACTGGATGTTGTAATTTTCCTGTTGATAAACACAGTGAACCGACATGTGTGCTTTTCCCCCTCATACAGACTCTGTTGATGGACAGATCACGTCTCCAGGAGCTACAGCAGAGAGTTGATCAGCTGATTCTGGTGGCCTCCATCCTATTGGTAACCAGTAATATGGTGGGAGCAGCCATTTGTGGTTTGCCTGGGTTTGTAGATAAACTAAAGCAGGTCACTTGTGCCCTGATGGATGGGCTGAACTGCAAGTAAGTTAACCTGAGCACCTGTGTCTCCAGGAGGTGACAGAGGAGACAGAGTATTCTGAAGCATGTTTAGGAGCACCTGCTGTAATTACAACTCTATTCATTGAGTTTACACAGGTGAAAATGTTGCACAGTGCAAAACAATTTCCAGCTATGAGAGTATAGACAGACGTTTGTGCAGTCCACAATTTCACAATAATTTTGGAAACTGCTGACACAACGTACAGTATCTCCTGTTTCAGTCTAACCCTCTTTTGTTATGATCAAATGGTAGATGTGGAAGTAGAAGGCTGTTTTTCACATTTGATTCCAACATCCCAAAAACCAGCTGTATAGCCATTCCTTTTCAGCATTGAACTCCTTTTTTTAAATGTCTAGATCAGGTATCGAACACACTCTCCATCCAGCTTTCACTCATGAACTTCATAAAGAAATCTTTCCAAGCTTAAGCTGTTTGGTCTTTCCTTCTATAAATGAGAGCTCTTGTGCTCCCTTACTTTCTCAAATCATGGGCCTGTGTTAATTCTGACTTTCTTTATCATTGACCTCGATATCCTGTACTAACACAATGGGCCTACTTTTATATACTGACATGCAATCAGTGAGGTGATGATCTAGTGGTATTATCACTAGACTAGTAATCAGGAGACCCAGGTAATATTCTGGCGACACAGGTTCGAATTTCACCACAATAGATGGATTCAATCCTTCATGTAACTCCAGACCCATAGCAGTGTGGTGATTCTTAACTGTCCTCTGAATAACCTAGTCAAGAAAAAAGGATGTTAAACAGACTGCCTGTTATTGACAGGAAACAGCAATGGCACACACAGCCTTGACATCCCTGTAAAGTTCTCCTCATTAGTGCCAAAATTGGGAGAGCCATTAACCAGAAACTGAACAGGACTAGCCACATAAACAAATGTGGTAGCTACAAGAGCAGATCAGGGGCTAGAAATCCTGCAGGAAGTAACTAACCTCCTGACCCCCCAGAGCCTGTCCATCATCTACCAGGCACAAGTTGGGAGTGTGATGGAGAGCTTCTCCAATTGCCCGGATGAGGGCAGCTCCAACAACACTGAAGAAGCTTGTCCAGGACAAAGCAGCCCGCTTTATTGGCACCACATCCACATCTTCCAAACTCATAAGCACTGCCATGCAGAAGAACAAAGGTAGCAGATACCTGGGAGCACCAGAACCTGCAAGTTCCCCTCCAAGCCACTTACCAACCAGATTTGGAAATATATTGCTGTTCCTGCAGTGTCACGGCATCAAAATCTTGAAACCCCCCTCCATATTGGCATTGTGGGTCTACCTACACCAAATGAACTGCTGTAATTCAAGACAGCAGTTCACAACCACCTTCTCAAGGGCAACAAGGGATGGGCAATAAATGCTGGCCAGCCAGTGATGCCCAAATCCCTTGAAAAAAATTTTAAAAAACATTAGAAGTCCTGAAGCATTTAAACCAAGAACATCATTCTAGGTTTGTTTGCCTTTCAAGATCATTGTAGACATTTTGGTTAGCAAAGCTAAACGGTTTAACTGAAGGTCAGCTATAGCAAGGTGAGAATCAGCCATTTTATTGAATTGAACTTAAGTTATTTACCAAAAGTGGTGGTCATGGGAATTGCTTAAAATAGCCCAAAGTACAACATTATACGGAAACGTAGATATGTTTTGCGTACAAAAAGGAAAATAGTCAGGGTTGAAATGCTTGTCAAATAACCTTGATCAACTGGAGGCTTATATTTATTTTTGAAGTCATTAAAGCACAAAAGGAGACCACTCAGCCCACTGATCTCATACTGGCTCTCTGTAGATCAATCCAATCATTCCAATCATTCCCAACCCTCTTCTCCAATCCTGTTCCCTATATTTCCCTGAAGTGTATATCCAATTCCCTTTAGAAAATATTCATCATGCCCATTTTCACCACCATTGTGGGCAGAGTGTTTCTGGTTATTTTCATTCTCAGCTTAAAAAAGATACTCCTCACATCTCTCTTGCATCTTTTTCCCAAAACCCTAAATACGTGTCTGCTAGTACTTACGCCATCAGTTAAAGAAAACAGATTTTCTTTGTCTACTTATCTAAACCTGTCATAGTCTACGTATAAGGGCAGAATACAGAAGTTTCAGCTGAATCAAGAAATAATAGGGAACTCAACTTTACCCCAGTGCTTTCTGACCCATAATTTATGTGGCACGTCTTGGTTTCTTACTGCTTACCCACAGTCTGCGATCAGATGGTTTGGAAGTAGCAACAGCCATTAAAAGAATTGTGATGCTGTTTATCTGCTTCTGAGATTGCTGGGTGTTTCTCCTGGTTGGGACTTCCAACTGATAAACCAATCATCCAGATGAGTGTAAACCAAGTGGAACATACCATGCAGAAAATGCTGGAAATACTCAGCAGGCCACGGAACACCCCTCTGGAAAGAAACCGAGTTAAAGGCTCAATGTTTCAAGAGCAGGGAAGAGGTCCGGGTGCCAGGGTTGAAAGCAGGTGCTGACCTGGCACTGGCAAAATGTGGAACCTAACATGGTATTTCACTGATGACAAACAGTTAAGAGACCACTACTGGGATTGCCACACACTTAGGGTCTCCCAGAGCTGTTGGTCCAATAAGAGGGGCCAGAAACCTCAGCAGCGCCACCATGAGAGGTAGCAACCAATGAGACTGCAAGATGAAGCCCCTTCAAGACAAAATCAGTTTTATTCAGCACATTGAGGTCATGGCAGGGAGGATCAAGGTGCAGGAGATCAAGCTGTGGCCACAGGGTTAGCTATTCTTGCTGGTGGGGGGAGGGGAGGGGAGCACATGGAATGGCCATAAAGAAGGGATCTCCTGGGAGGTCACTAGGATTTACCTAATGGTCTCTCCACATGACGGCAGGACCTTCCCGTGACTATGGAACACTGCTAGTGACAGAAGGTGACCTGTAGGTGTCTCCATTGACTGTTCTGCAGAGATTCCTACTGCTGATTGAGTGCCATGGTGGCCAGAGGACTGCCATTTTGCCTCCCAGTCTGTTGCCATGGTTATGTACTGTCCAATGTTTTAGGTCAATAACCTTGTTGATCACCAAGGGCCTAAAATGGCCACTGCTGCCTGGGAAATAGGCACAATGAAACAATCCTATTTCATATCCTGGTGGAAATCAATTCCTTTACCGTTGTGTGCACCATAGTTTCAAAATGGGAATCAGTTTCATTTTAATGGGGTACTTCATTGTATGAAACTTTCATTTTCTCAGGAATCTTTCCTATCTTATTCCCATCTTATTACTAGTTAAACCTTTTGCTAAATCTCTGAGGAGTCCTTCAAGCAGACTACTTGGACTGGCTCATCATCAGATTTTTGCTCCTCTCAAACATGCATGGACAAAAAGATGCCTTTGTTCTGAGACTCTTGGAAGGATTTACATTTAAATATTGGAAAATGTTTAAGTTATTTTGGTTTGTTTTCCTCTTCTCCCCTATTTTACATTCCTCTTACCAAGCCCCTATTCCATTTTTTTCTGTTCCATTAAGTGTAACTTTACAGTTTGTATACTCATTCTCATTCTACATAACTCTGGAGAATACAGGCCTAGACTCCTCAATTTTTCTTAAGAAGAAAATCCCACCATCCAAGGGATTAATCTGGTGAACTTGTGCTGCGCTCCCTCTATGGCAAGTAAATCCTTCCTTAGATAAGGAGATAAAAACTGCACACAATATTCCAGGGGTAGTCTCATTCCAGCTCTGTACAATTGCAGCAACTCATCTTTAGTCGTATACATAAATTCCTTTGCATTGAAAGCCAGATGTAAATTGGCACAAAATGTTTCACTAATTCCATTTACGTTCAGCATTAAGTGTGTTTGGATGACCATCAGAAGGATAGACGAAAGGGATAGGAGGCTTTCCTCTTCTATCCTCCATATTACAAACCAAGCTGATGCTTTGTGCTTTAGAGACTTGCATAGCCGAGGCTTTGATCCTAAATCCTGGAAAGGTGGTATCTGTAACCAGAGGATCCCTCTCCATCGTCATTGGCAGAAAGTATTATCTAAAGGATTCTTGTTTTGCTCCTCCTATCAATCTCCACAATATTCAGGTTAGAAGATGGTCTACTTGCAGTCAGCGACCAGATACACAGAGAGCTCGTCAAGTCACTTCCTGTTTATGGGTACTCTCCTCTGACAAATGAGCAGGGAGTCATCTTAAAAGGACAAATCTGCAGCATTTCACAGAGAGACAATGTCATTCGGAACCTGATTGGTGAGTTTATTGCATAATCTTCAAAATAAGCTGAGTCCTCCTGGACAGTGACTTGTGGAATGGAGGCCCAATCCTTAATGAGATTGAGTGTCTTGTCATCACTGCATATTAAATTTGTTGCTGTTCTTTACTCAGAGCAGATAGAAATCAGGAATACCAGGAGTAGGCTATTAACCCTCTCAGGCCTGCTCTGCCATCCATGCAGATCATGGCTGATCATTTGCCTCTATGCCAGTTTCCCACTATCCTTGATCCTTTGATACCATGAGTATCCAGAAAGCTATCAACTTCTGACTTGAGCAAGTTCAGTGGTTGCAGAGTTTCCACAGAATTCCAAAGATTCACCATTCACTGAGTGAAGAAATTCCCCCTCTTCTCAGATTTAATTGGCCTATCCCTTATTCTAAGACTGTATGCCTCTGGTCTCAACATTGCGAACACAGGAAACATCCTTCCTACATCTATCCTGTCGACCCTTATAAGTAGTTGTAAGTTTCAGAGGGATCACCTCTTATTCTACATAACTCTGGAGAATACAGGCCTAGACTCCTCAATCTCTTCTAATAAGAAAAGCCCACCACCCAAGGGATTAATCTGGTGAACATCTGCTGCGCTCCCTCTACGGCAAGTAAATCCTTCCTTAGATAAGAAGATCAAAACCACACACAATATTCTGGACGTAGTCTCATTCCAGCTCTGTGCAATTGCAGCAACTCATCTTTAGTCCTGTACTTAAATTCCTTCGTATTGAAGGCCAGATGTGAATTGACACAAAACGTACCACTAATTCCGTTTACATTCAGCATTAATAGTATCTGGAATGCATCGGCTGGTGAATGCAATGCCCGTTGTGGAACTGAGGCACTCTGACCCGCATGATCCCAGGATGAATTCTGTGCTGAATGAGCCCACCTCAGGCAGAGCTGCATTAGAATTAGCAATAGAGCCTGGAGGAGGGAACATTAGTCAGGGCTACCCCATTCCAGCCTCCCACCAGTGACTGTCTCTGCTGTGTCATCAAATGTGGCCACAGTGATAAAATGTTAAAGAAATTGTCATCTGCAGAGCTGAGCCCCAGTGGGTCAGTACCTAGAGATCAAAATATAGAAGGCACAACAGCTCAAAATAAGGTGCTACCATCCGAATCAAGGGTTTGTTAGATATATTGACAGTATTCACACCATAAATTATCCAGTAGGGAATGTCTACCAATAAGTTTCATTCCCTTTATCTACACACAAAGGGAAGATATCTACAGATGTTCCTTTGGCCAGGTAATGCAAACATCAGGACTATCCAATCAAACATGGCCTAAACATCTAAACAATTCGAACAAACACATTCCAAACATTCAGACAGTACAACTGAAACTTGTGAATCTCCACAATACCCAAGATCTCTATCTCTGAAGAAGAACCGAATTTCTGCTTGAAGAGAAATATATTTTGCAATCACTATATTTATGCCGAAACCTGATCCATATATTATGAGAAAATTTCATACCTCACAACATTCATAGACCAAACCTTGCTAGGACCTACTCTGCAATATCATTTAACCATTTTCATAAGGCAGTATCTCTTTTTGTAGGTGAGCGGATTTATTCATACCTGAAGGGTTTTCTCAACTCCTCAAGCCCACAGAATGGCCTTCATGCTCTTCCTGGTGGCCTTGCTCCAATTCAGGCAGAGCTAAAGGAGATTGGTGGCACCTTCAGTCATATTCTGCACCACAACAGGATGGTGTTTGGACCCTTTTACTCCAGCATTCTGGCGAAGCTGCTGTTCGCTGATGGTGACGCCGGGATGGACTCTCGCTGAGTCTGGGTGCAGGAACCCGCAGTCAATTGATGGGTAAGGATCAGAAATGTTAGAGGTGAACAAGGGTTATCTGAGACATCATCTTAACCCTATCCTTCTAGCCAGGGGACAATTCTAGAAGTGAATAAAATTATCAGAATAGTAAAAGTTGGTGGTGGTTTCATCCAGCAAACATCAATCCCTTTGCATCTAATATTCTGGTACCTTAACTATAACATTGAAAGGAACACCTGTTTATCATTTTTTACTCCCTTTCTTATCTCCAATATCAATGCGCTATATATCCTTGGTGGACACATGCAAGTAGGCAGTGTATTCCCAGCATAACTTGAAGTCCTTCAGAACCAGGATTCCTGGGATGGAGGGATTATCTTATGAAGAAAGGTTGGACAAGATGGGGCTGTTCTGTTGGAGTTTAGAAGAATGGAATGCAATATTACTAAAAACATAAGAAACCCTGAGGGGACCTGAAAGGGTGGATGCTGCAAGGTGGTTTCCTCTTGTGGGAGGGACTAGAGCTACGAGACATAGGTTAGAAATAAGAGGTTGCCCATTTAAAATGGAGATGAACAGGAATGTTTTTCTCTTGGAGGGTCATGAGTGTGTGAAACTTCTCCCCAAAGAGGGGGCTATGTAGAGTTGTGGTCACTGTCAGATCAGCCTTGATCTTATTGAACAATGGAGCAGATGTGAGGGGCTGAATGGCTAACCACTGCTCCTAACTCGTCGTCATTTAATCAAACTGTTCACACGTATTATGACACGTCCCTGGGGCAAGTGGGACTTGAGTCCAGATCTTCTGGCCCAGAGGCTGTGATGCTACCATTGCACCACTGACCCTGATACACAGAATCCATTTGGCCTATCGGGTCTGTACTGACCCTCTGAAGAGCATCCCACCCGATCCCCATAACCCCATATTTACCATAGTTAATCCACCTAGCCTTCATATCTTTGAATCGAACCGAGGTTGCTGGCACTGTGAGGCAGCTGTGCTAACCACCGAGCCACCATGCCCACCCTGTGTTTACCTGAATGCTTGTAGAACTATAAGAACATAAGGTATTTGTTTGCCGCTCCTGTAGCTGGAAGCCAGTGACTTCCAAAACATAATCAAGAGATGCTACTAAAACTATCAGCCATAGTTCAGTGATGATCTTTGACCTATATTCTGCTGTGTCAGTTGGCTCTTTTCCTCCTGGTGAGATTCACATTCTAGGTTGCCACAACATTCCACATACTTTTACAGTATCGTAAAGAAAATTTCTGAGTGCTTTGTGCTGCAGACTTACTAAATGACACTTTGCTTTGTAATATTGATGCTTGACACCCAGTTCTGGAAGATCCATGTACTCTGTGAAATCCAATCTGTATCTTAGATCTGCCATTCACCATTTGCCTATTGGTTAAACTTGGAGGATTTGCGAGCAGGAGCAAGAGCAGGACAAAAAAAGATATTGTAGTAAAGACTCTGGGCATCACTGGAAGAGCCCATTAATATTACAAAGGATAATGTCGTGCCACTGAGTTAATTCCATGGGTGTGTTTCTGAGATAGATCGTACTGGGGCTACCACAGAATTTTGAAACTGGGGTTTGCAACTGAGATCAAAATAATGTAGGAACACGTCACTTGCGGGTTAATTGAGCTAATCTGTGAATTTGAGAACCTTTGCCATGGTTACACCAAATATATCCAGAGCTCATTTTAACCTGTGAAATTCTCGATCTCAGCAGGCTCTGAATGCTCAGTTGTCGAATACATACAAACCCAAGATTACGAGATTGTATTCATTGTAAAAGTATCTCATTTTGTCAGATGTTCCCAATTATTCCACTGTCTGCATGCTGTCAGACCTAGTCATCCTGATCATTGTACTGGCTGTGTGGAACAGTTCATGTCCTGGTCTCCCATTCCCCACAGTCTGCAGTTAGTAATCAACACTCTTCTATTTAATCTAAATTACCACACTTAAAGGTATATACACTGAGCAGGAGCTCCTGATTCTCCTGAACAGTTGACTCTGTTTAATATCAGGAGGGGTGAATATCTTCAGTTTTTACCTACAGAACTAACTCCCATAAGGGCCTGCCATTATAAAGTCAACCATACGAGTGAACCTGGATCCTCTCAATATGTTATCCAGGGTAATGTTGTAGTAATCTATTAAAAGCTTGTTTAAAATTATAAACTCTTTTTATTCACAGCCAGTGAATAGGCAGTGACTAAAGGTGACCCTATTTTACCTGAATGGTGGCATACAGCCTATTTAACCGTTCTTTCTACAGAGGCACGCTACTGATGCTTTATACAAGTGCATTCATTGTGTGCCATCTAGTAGCAAACAAAACTTGTACAGTTTTGCCAGAACCATGGTACCTTCAAATTTCAGTAACAGCAAGATGCAACTGTGAGAATCTGAGCACAACACCTCAGCTGAGCCTTTGATTCAGACCTGAGGGAGTGGAGTACTATGGGAGGTGCCGCATTTCAGATAAAACATTAATGCCAAGCCTGCCAGCCCTCTCAGGTGGACATAAAAGATCTCATTACATTGTTTTGAAGTTGTCCCTAGTCTACATTTATAATCCCTCAACCATTTCTAAAACAGCTTTTCTGGCTATAATCACATTGCTGTTTGTGATACCATGCTGTGCATAAATTGGTTGCTGTGTTCCATACATTACAAAAGTGACTAAACATTTTGTAAAAGAAATGCTTCAATGCATTTGTTCATGGAATTTTGGTGTAGCTGGCTAGACCAGCATTTATTGCCCATTCTTAATGACCCAGAGGTCAGAGAGGTAAGCGTCAGGCATGATGCCATGGGTTGGGAGTCACATATAAGGCAAACCAGATAAAGATGACTGATTTTTCTCTCTTGTAAATGTTACTGAGTGAGATAAGAGTTTATTGTTGCCATCTGGGCACCTTCTCATTCCAGATTTTTATTGAGTTCAAATTTGGCCATTTGCCATGGTTGGATCCAAACACTTGTCCCCAGGACATTAGTCTGAGCGCTACTTGCCTGGAAAGCACTTCAGGACACCCTGAAGATGGCAACAATGCCATATAAAAGGAGTTTTCTCTTTTGCAAACTTTACATAAAAGTTTGAAAATGTCTCACAATGGTTTTGTTTTTGTCGGTTCAGCTATTGTCATAATTCAGCGAAAAGCAGAAGCCATTCTGCATTAGCAATGTGTCCAAACAGCAATGAGAAAAATATGGAAACATCTCACAGATTGCAAAATATCCCTGGGGGTGAGCAGATTAGGAGGTTGGAACGTGAATGATTTTCCTTAATTATCTGCAAGCAGGAGTGTCCTACAGCTGAGAATCCAGCGCCTTTGACATAATAGGGTGGCACAGTAGCTCAGTAGTTAGCACTGCTGCCTCTCAGCACCAGGGACCTGGTGCCAACTCGGGCGACCGTCTGTGCATTTTCCCGGTGTTTGTATGGGTTGCCTCTGGGTGCCCTGGTTTCCTCCCACAGTCCAAAGATGTGCATATTAGGTAGATTGGCCGTGCTAAATTCGCCCATTGAGATCAGGATGTGTGGGTTAGCCATGGGAAATGCAGGATTACAGGGATATGGTAGGGGGATGAAATTGGGTGGGATACTCTTTGGAGGGTTGGTGTGGACTCGATGGGCCAAATGGCCTGCTTCCACACTGTAGGGATTCTATAATGGGGGAGATGGGTGATGAAGGAAGAAGAATAAATGAATATTTGAATAACTGAGATGTACTAATAATATTTACAGACAACCCAGAAATTTTAAATGAGGGCCATAAATCTGAAATGAGAGTCTATGCCTCTAATTTTGATGAGTTCTCAGCCGACTAGAGTTATTCTGATTGCAACTATTTGTAAATTGAGGTGATACCAGTAGGTGGCATCAACTCCAACAATATGAACATTTTAAAGTTGAATTTTTCACATCAACCTGAAGAAAATAGCAGGCAGTTGTAATTTAAGGACCTGGTTCAAAGTCCAATAATAGACGTTACAAATTTAGGTACATTTTGCATTGCAACAGGATTGAAAGAGACATAAAAATTTATTATTGGAGTGTTGAAATTTATAAGTACAAATAACATATCAATTCTAAATCGGGTGGAAGCATTTCATGTCATGTGAGGTTGTAATTTTGTTTCATTAAATGTATTCAGTAAATGGAATGTTATTCTGTCGTGATAAAATGACGGCTTCATTGAACCAAACAGATAATATTTTTCCCAAATTGTGATAACTTCTTTAAAGTTTCAACAAAAAACTGCAAATGAAATTCAGTTCTTTCCCTCCGTAGGTTTTTAACGCAGAACTTCCTCACCAGTTCTGCAGCCAAAGTCATTCTGTGGTAACCCACGAGGAGGCAGACATTATCATCATCGGTTGCTGAGTGGTGACACAGTTTCAGGTCATGACCACTACAACTGCCACTCCAGGACATTAGTCTGAGGTTCTGGATTACTGGTCCAGTGACATTATCACGACCATTATGCCACTACTTCCCTTCAAGTTGTTAGCCCTAGGTCACAACCCCAATGAACTCCTGCAGTGTTGTCCTATGGCTGAGTTCACTGGCTTCCAAGATGCACAACCATCTTGCTTTGAGCTCAGTATGACTCCAACCAGAGAACATTTCCTCTTTCTGTCCCCACACCCCATTCCCATTGACTCCAGTTTTGCTACGGCTCCTTGATGCCACACATGGTCAAATGCAGCCTTAGTGTCAAGGGTAGGCACACTCAGATCAGCTCGAGTTCAGCTGTTTTGTCCAGATTTGGAGCAAGGCTGTAACAAAGTCATAAATATAGAAGATAGAAGCAGGAGCAGGCCATTCAACCCCTTGAGCCTGTTCCACTGTTCATTATGGCCAATGGCTGTTCATTAAGCCCAGTACCCTAATCCCACCCTCCCCCATATCCCTTGATCCCTTTATCCACAAGGCAGATGCAGTATAATGTGAACAAATGTTAGGTCATCCACTTTGGTAGCAAA